GCTCTCAGCCTGTCATCGTAGGGTCTGCTTCCCTGACCTCTGATCATGCGCGTGGCTCTTCTCTGGACTCTCTCAAGCTTCTCCACATCCTTTTTGAATTGTGGAGCCCAAAACTGGACGCAGTACTCCAGTTTAATGTAGAGCAAAGTACAAGCTTCCATTAAGCTAACCAACCTCCTATTCAACATGGCCATTGTCATAAGACTTCAGTAAAGTCATAATAGTCATTACATTATTATGCAGTTGTAAGTCTGGGGATTCTTTCTCTGAAAAATCAAACATTTACAGAGGATTTTATATATTCCCTACAAACATTGATCCTAAATCACCAAGTTTATGGACACCCAGAGGAACAAGCTGCTCTGTACATTTTTCCAAACTGATTTTATATTTTTTTCTGAAAGAGACTGCACAGTGCATTTAAGAATCCTGACATCCCTAAAAGAGGCCTTTAGAGGCTTAACTATAGGATATTTTATAGTCTGAGGTGAGCAAATGGCTCAAATCGGGCAATGGGAGGTAATTATTAGAAATTATTTTAATCCATTGGACATTTCAGTGACCTACTTGTTTTCCTTAGCTGTCATTTACTCCTTTCTCTGCCACTACCCCCTTTCCATGAAGATACTATCCATTCATTTTTGTTTTATTTTCAAAGACAAAATATATCCCTACTTCAATTGTATGTTAGCTGGGGAGCATCACATTATAAACTAGTTTCAGTTGACTGCAGCCAAAAAGCCTTTTGTCAAAGGTCAGCTATGGCACTAGTACCTGCAGGTGTTAGTGCCATAGCTAGTCTATCATTCGTGTAGGCTTTATTAAATAAAAGAAAAATATCTGTTCCAACGTCCATCAGAAAAGTGTAAGACTTCATAAAGCCTGAAGTCCAAGGGAAATAGGAAGATATTTTATAGCTAATTTTCCACACAGCTTTCTAGTGAGGTGAAGAAAGATGGCATATGTCCTTCCGCCAGTCTTACCCGTTCCCCTGCCTTACCTCCTGCTCTACAGAATCTACTGGGTGGAACGCTCCCAAGATAACAGCCAAGTTTCCTTTTCACATGACAGTGGTATTCTCTTGGCTCAGACCGATGCCTCTTCTTATGAATCAGATGCGATTAAATCCAAGGTTTTTAAAAAGCTCCAAGGTCCAACTCCACTAAAGGTGTTGACCACTTTCAATTCTCATAAAAATCACTTAGAACTTCAAATGCTCAGTGGGCTTTCAGTCCTGTTTCACTACTAACCTCATTTGCTTCCCTTGTGCTTATAGATTTTCCATTGCCATGAATAAAAATGGCACATTTTTATAATGTACTATAAAATTGATTTTTAAATATGCTCACACTGAAGAAAATGGTTTGATTTCCACTGACTGCATACCACTGAACTGTGCTTAATGGACATCTAGCTGCCTACTGTCCTGTTTCTTTGTAAACAAGTGAGTAAAATAATACTTCATCCCATGATGGTTAAAGGAAAAACTAATTTGAACCTACTGGGCCAGATCCTGTTTTTAACAAGTGGACAGGATATGACCCAGGGAGGTTAAGGACTTGTGGGGAAAGGGAGGGGAACCTAGGCAGATTGAAACAGAATCAAACTTTAGGGCCTAAGTCTATTTAAATGTATACATAGAATAAGATCTGCTCCATTGCCTTTATTTATCTGATAAAGTTTAGATTGGTGCTAGTGAAGAGAAGTATATTAAATACCTGGGGGGTTTTTTATGATGCAGGATGGAGATTTGATACTCAAGAGCATCTTTCTATAGATATCCTTTCACACCTGCAAAAGTCCACAGGACAAAGAAGAAGCCAGAGTAGCTTATTTGATTGGAGGTAAATACTTTGTAACCTTAACAAGGAGATACAATCCCAGTTTGTGTGAATTTATAGTTAGCCATACTTGACTCCCACCAGAGCCTGAGCCTGGACATCTTTCAGAAGCACTGTAAGACTTTCCTATTTGGGCAGGTATTTAGCACAAAAAAGCTAGGCTGATATTGTTTAGAGGGGCCGTGATATGGCAATGCTTGCCCCAGAGAGGAGGCTCCATGGCCCCATCTGGCAGCATGGGCCCTGTTCCTGTAGTGAGGGGCCAAGAGTGGGGTGCAGGGCCCCATCCAACAGTAGGCCAAGCAAAGGCAGCACAGGGCCCAGTCATTGCACGTGGTGTCTGATCCAGCCCATAGATGGGTCCACACCACGCATGTGGCTTCCTGCACCAAAAGTTTAAGCACCCCTGCTTTACATGCTGCCTAAGCCCATGGGAAGAGATGGTCACTGCCTACAGGTAGTTTAATTTCCATCTAGGGTCCTAATCCTATTAAGGATTATAGCAAGTGCTTAATTTATGCATTTTGAATAATCCTATCAACCTCAATAGGGCAACTCAGTGCATAAAGTTAAGCATGTCCAGAAGTCTTTACAGGACTTTGATGTGATTTAAGACAGCACAACACCTAAGGGAACGTTCACAAGGAAAACAGAGGAAGAAGAGAAGCGTAAATTATGCAGTTACCTCAGCTATTAAATGTGAAGAATGCAACAGTTTCAGAGCAATTAAAAGCTTTTTACTACTTTTGTTAGTAATGAATAATCCTTCCCCAGTTGCTACTCAGTACAGGCATCAACTATTTGGCAGATTTCATATAGTAGTTTTGCATGCACCTTGAGGAAGGGTTTGAAAGGAAGAAATTTGTTGGCCAGAGGGAGTAGTTATGGGTGACAGCAGGGAAGGAAGTGAGATGTTTTTGGAAGAAGTAGCTGAGGCTAGGTCACTGAGGACAAAGGGCGATGACAGGAGAGACCAGAGAAGTTACATCCAGATCAGAAAATGGAAAATGGATCATAAGCAGGTTTTCATTTTTGAGTGCCTTCTCAAATCATATGTAAAAATAATGAACTTTTCTGTATCATTTTGTCTTAACCTATACCAGTCTGTGATTTAATAGACAGGAGAACAGAGAAGAAGTCAACATTCCTGAATTATATTTCCTGATGCCACAGTCTTATTTTATGAGCTTAGATAGACTGATTGTTGTGGTAAATCAGCTGAGATAAAGCAGTTTGAGATCCTGAAACAGCAGTAGATATTTGCTACTGTGCTAGCAGTTGTAATAGTTTGCTTAAGGCAGATACACCTAAAATGTGTACTTATTGGTGTCTAACCACAGCATACATCTGGGAACCGTTTTTAAACATATTTCTAATTCCATTATCAAGCCCTGTGATTCTGAACCCCATTTCACTATGGAAATCAAGAGGAATTTTGCCATTGACTTCAACAGGAGCATGATGAGGCTGAATGTATTTTTTGTTTCATATATGCATGAATACATAGGCAACAGCACATGATAGGTCTTACATTGCTAAAACATTATTACAGCCATATGATTTTGAAAGTTTTGACATTGGAAGCCAAGTGCTTTTAATCACCTGAAGAGCACATAAATCTCCAAGAATTTATCTAATTTCTAATTCCTGTTACACTGGCAGGAATATTCATTAAAATAGGTGGCTACACAGCACAACCTCTTAAGTTTCAATGTATGCTAATAGAACAAGAATTTACATTTCTTCAAGTTATTTTACTGAAGCAACATCAGTTAGCAGTTAAAATAAATATGTATGGAATATTTATCAGATGGGATGAAGGGCAGTGATTATGTAATGGAAAGGTGTGTCATGTTTTCTTGCAAAGCTAGAGCATTAGTGGACAACTTTCTATAAAGCTGCTGCCAAAGGAGAGAATTGTTCCATTGGTATAAGTAGTAGGTGAGGTCTGCGTAACAGCATTGAAAGTCCTTGGTTCAGACTGTTAATGAGTGATGGTAAGTGAGAAAGGGTCGCCCATGGGGAGCATTGCAAAAATACATTTGTATTATTCCACACTTCCCCAATTCAAGACAGTCCTTGTTGAATAATAATGTACAAGGTAATTTTCAGTCAGTGATTACTTGGCTTTAATCCCAGATTCATTATTCAAATAATACTGTGCCTGCACCAGGAATCCAGGAATGGGGCATATTGCAGGTAAATTTTCAGCTGAATGTCTAGGTTTGGTAGAACTTTGTCCATGAGGTGTTTGCACTTAACAAGGCTCCCTTGTAGCAAGCAAAAAGTAGTCAATTACATTTGTTCCATTATATTTAGATGTAAAACTAAAAATGTTTAAAATCTGACAATAAAAGTAGTATTTCAGGATCATGTATGATAACAAATTTCTATTAGGAATAGCCATTTATGTTAGCTTGCAGTTGTTATTTACCTAGTTTAATTTTGATATTATGTTATGATGTTTGTTAAAACAAACAAAACCCTTTACTAAGGGCCCATTCCAGTACATTTCCACATGACACAAAGCAAACTTTTTAAACAGGCGCTTGAAATCCAGCATACTTTGCATTGTCATGCTTTAATCGATAACATCTTATGGTCTTTGAGTCACTGTTGGCCTGTTTTGTGGAGGGAAGCAGGCTGGGAATCTCTCCAGGGATATAATTCTTTAAATCCTTGAGGGATCTCTTAGCCAGCTAGAGAGGGAGCTGTGGAATAAAGGGATACAGTTCCAAATGCTCTCCCTTTACAGAGCTGAAAGCACAGCCTTTACTATGAGATCAACCAGAACATGAATCCATCTCAGAAGGATTTTTAAAATTATTTTTTTAAATATTTGTTAGATATCTTCACCTTGCCTTCTTCAACTACTCTTACTGCTTACATGCAGGTCCAACAGTTTTCAGCACAAATTTTTGTTCACCAGCTTTTACAATTTATACATATTTTAAACATGTCCATAATGTGAAGTACCTGCTATCTATGTGCAACAGTAATGCAATTAGGGGTGGGCTAGATGGGAACCAGCATCACTATACTTTAATTAAAGCAATTTAAATTATCATGCTTTGATGATTCTTTTTTTCCTCTGTCACATCTGAAAGATTTAAAATAAAACTCCACTATTCTGCAGACACAGAGAATTTAAAATAATACCTTTTTAATGTGCTGGACCAACTGCTGGATTTGTTCACCTTCACCTGTTCTTCTGAATATTCTAATGTAGAAATAAAAAGAATGAATTGGGAGAATTAAACTCTATTGGATAGTTTAAAATAAACACAAGAACTACAGTACAGTTTTCACTAATACAACAGAGGATCCAAACTAGAACAGATTAGCAATCCTAAATAGTGTGTATTGGGAGGAGGAGGAGCAGAAGGGGGAATAGTGAGCTTTCTTTTCATTTTACATGTAAGTTAAAAGTTGCCCACATGCAACATAAGAAAAATATGTTTATTCATTTGGAAAAGATCTGCCCTCTTCTCCTTAGTTTTATACAGCATGCTTAGTAAGTTATTAATATGGGGAAATGGCACTTAAAATATAAGCATGCTTCAGCTAATGATGTCCTACTCTTTCAATAATTCCTAATAAATGCATGGGTCTACCAATCAGAAAATACAGCTCAGAACCATATTATGCTCTTTTGTTGCATGCTTTGTCATTGCTTTTTTATTATGAATATTAAGCCCTACCATGTGTCTTGATTTATGTGGATACTCACAGAAGCAGATTTGCATTAGTTCTGCAAAAGTTACCTGAGTGTACAAATATTATTCTATTATGCTGTTTTATATTAGGGGTATCTGCTCTTCTGTAGTATAATGAGATGTTTCTTCATTTAAAAACAATTTTATATGACATAAATGCATACATCATTTAAAGATAACTTTAAAGGTTACACCAACCTAAACAAACTGCCCTTCTGGTGCTCCCCCTAAGTCAGCTCTGGGGGTGGGTGCCCCTCTAGCCCACCCCTAATTACCTTACTGTTGTATATAGATGATACATGCAACATATTCAGGACACTTAAAATACCTGAGCTTATATATATATATATCATGTTTATAGACACCATTGTTTTCGTTGCACATCTCATACCAGTAGACTTTAAGGGCACATCCAGATGAGCACACACGTGCCTCTTGCCCTGTCTGAAACCCCTTTGAGACAGGACAAGAGGCACATGTGGGAATGAAAAACAAAATGTTCTTTGCGCTACAAGTTTGCAGCATAGGGAGAAAATTAGACCCTTGGATATCCAGGGTCTGAAAAAACAGCTCCACAGAATAGCAGAGCAAGGCACAGTCCCAGACCGTGTCTGGAGCCAGCAGGAGTCAGTCCTCCAAAAGAGATGCTCTGGTTTCAATCCCCAGTGCTCCTGCTGCCCCTGGCGCTGTCCATGGTAAGTAGGGGAATGGGGGTGGGGTGGGGAGGGGTATGAGGGGTGGCAGGAGGATGTAGGTGGGGTTTGGGAGTGGCACAGGGGGATGTCCCCGGAGCTGCGTGGGGGGCAAGTGGTTGGAGCAGGCTCGGAGGAACCTGGCCCAACCAGTGCAGCTTGCTAGTCTGGCTTTGCACTGGAGTGGGTCACATGGCTCTGGGAGGCGCACACAGGAGCCATGCCTTCTGGAGCCATGCGACCCACTCCTGTGCAAAGCTGAACTAGAAAGCCGCATGGGGCTGAGCCAGGTCCCGGCACGCGCCACCTCCCCACAGGCACAGTGCACCTCACCAGGTCCTGCTGCCATGGACCCGGCCCAGCCAGGCAGCAGAGGGGTCCCAAGGGTGGCAGGACCTAGCTGGGCCCGGCGTGCAGTCCCCAAGAGCTGGGAGCTACAGCAGCAGGCTCAGAGTGCTCCACTCCCACTGCTGCTGCGAAAGGTAAGTTATGGGCCCTGGGTGGGTGGGCTGTAGCCCTCCAGGGGGGAGCTGGGACCCTGGGCAGGGGGGCTGTGGCTGTGGCCCTGTAGGTGGGCAGTCCATGTGCTGTGTGGGGGAACTGCACCCTGTGGGATCCAGGGGACCCACCCCTCCTGAGCTGCCCCTCCACAAGGTCCCCCACACCCAGTCCCCCCAGCAACTGCCCCACACCCACCCACACACCAACCCACATCCCTCCACACATACACACCCGCCTTGCCCCACACCCCTTCCCACCCCCTTCCTGCAAACACCACATTACCCCATCACACACCCATAATGTGCAAAGAAAACCAAAAGCACACATCAACACATATAGGTATTTAGAATTTATTTTATCGTGATGATAGAGACACTGGTAGGCTTCCAAATTGTTTTAACATTGTAAATATACCAATAAAGCATTGCCCAACTGATCACTGGCTCTCTCTCGCATGTGCGTGTGTGCATGTGTGTGGTCTTTTGTTTTAACTGTGGAAAAACATGGATTTGGGGGTATTTTTAAAAATGGATTTGGGGTGCTGCTTCAGCAGTCCAGCTGGTACAAGGTGTAGTGTCCCCAGGTATCCAGTGGCCAGGCCCCAGAAGCTCCTGAGAGTGAGTAGCCCTAAGCTGCTTCCCAGGGCAGGTTTTTGTACTGCTGGGGCCAGGACAAGGCAGCTTTTTATACTGCTGGGGACAGCACAGGTGCTGGCCCGAGGCTTTAGCTTCCCCAGGCTCCTGATCTGGGAGGAGCCAGGCAGGGTTATTTTGCCAAAAGTAGCACAATTTGCTCCACAACAAAGTGCATGTCTAAGCATGTGCACCGAGACAAGAAGCCCTGGCTCAAATTTGCACTGCTTCTATTTGAGCTGCTACAAGTGCATGTGCTTGCATGTGTGGACGCGCCCTAACAGGCTGTAGGATTTTCATATCTCTGTACTGCTTGGCAGCACCCTGCTTGGCAAGACCACCCTGCCTGTGGTTTTTCTTAAAAGCTTTCGAGGAAGAAAACCAGGATTCATCATAAGATGCTCAGGAATATGATTGAGTCATCAGATAGGAACTTTGTGCAGACTGTAATTAATTTACAGACACTAGCAGTAAATGACCCTGGCTCTATAAAGTTCTCGTACAAGGAACATAATGAGTTCAAACGTGTTAAAACAACATCCGCTTGTTCCTGCTGTGATTGTAAATGCGTGTTCATTAACTAATGTTATCTTTTCCTTGTGAACACAAAGCCTTTATGATAAGGGCCCAGGACTCAAATCAAAATTATTATTAAATGTAACCATTTTTTATTATACATCTGGAAGTATATTTGACTCATTTTGTTTAACTCTTGAGTAAAATATTTATTTTATCCTTATTATGTGTTCCATACTGTTATACCTGCCACGTAACAAGAATTCATGGTAGTAAGAAAAAAAGGTCATTGGTCCAGTGATAAATAGTATTAATGCTCTGTTTGTAAAGACAATAAATTGATTGCTCACATGGCCTAAGGGAAGTAGTAAGCTGATAGTTTCTTTATGATTTTTCATTGACATTTCCACATCAAAAATTATGATAGCTGGCATTCTTGTTTGCAGTGTTTGAAAAAGCTAGTAGTTGAATGAAGAGGATGACCAATTTGCCCTTTCATCACTTGTCTCAGTTAGGGTTCTAGCATGCTAGTGGGGAATTTTGGAAAGGCAAATGTGAATGAAGTCAGAAGTCATGCTACTATTGATAACATTACAATCCAAGAACACAGACTCCACTACCTTTACTGCAGTTTTTTATTTATACTATTTAGGAGTTGGGCTAAAAAATTATTTTTGATGTCCTGGTTTTTACCTTATCTTGAAGGTATTTTATTTTAATGACTGGCATAATTGAAAACATATATCACATGTCACCTTGTAAAGCCTCTGATTTAAACACTGTCACATCATGAATCACTGTGTGGCTGACTTTGATCATTACTGTCCTTTTATCTGCAGTGTTGTGGGTTACAGGTACTGTATTCTAAACCAAATCACTTCATTCTAATTTCTTTTATATTAAACAAATCAATTAATTTTTTTACTCCATCTTGTAGCATCAGAGCCTTTCATACATTAAAGTTGAGCAAATATATATTAGATATATAAAATTGCTCTCTCCAAAAACAAATTAAAATAGTGAAATGAATGTTTTATAATATAGCAATACATAATATGTAAGTGTGCATTCCTTTCACTGTGCCTTGACATCTTTCAGACTCTGGTACTCTACAGGGTATCCTATGGGGCTTGCACTTCACTCACTTCTATGGGGCTTCTCTAGTTCTAGATAGCAGTACTCCAGAAATAGGGCATGTCTACACAAGACTTTATTCTGCACAGTAGCCTAATCTACTGCAGGAAAGTGTCAGTGTCTACATGTGCACACCAATTACTGTGCCCTAAATTAGTCCACTTCAGAGTTATCTACTACCTGCCCGCCTATCCCATTCCCAGATGTTGCTCCCCACCTGCCTGTCCTGTTACCAAATGCCATTCCCCATTCACCTGCAACCCCATTTGCTTGGCCAAGCGCATTCTGTCTGCAGAGGTCCCAGGCTGATCTCCCTGGAGACCTTGCCCACCTACTCTGTCCAGTGGCCCGGTGATGGGTGTGTGGCAAATGTGCTGGTGTGCCTGGGCAGCAGGGCCAGGTCTGGTGGCAGCAACAGACAGCCGCCACCAGCACCAAAGCTGCCAAGAAGCAGAGTCTGGTCACTGTGCCACCCCAGCCCCAGGCTGGGAGTGGCCGAAGGACCTGCGATAGGCTGGAAAAAAAAAATTCCTTGGTGGGCCGAATTTGACCCATGAGCCATATTTTCCTCACCTCTGACCCAACTTTATGGTCATTATGATTAAACTTTACTGTGGATGCAGAGATAGGCCATGCAAATCCCTGAAATTGTAAATGACCAAATCCTAAGAGTAGCAATCGTTGACACCAAATTGATTGCAGTGTAATGGTGCCCACCTTTGCTAACCAGGATATGAAAATCCACAATTCTAGGCCCATCTCTCTCCAATGTGATTTGAACCCTAACCTCACTCACCATAGGACTGTGGTTACTCACCAGACCACAGACTGGGCAGGATTAAGCAAGGCCGTCTGTTGAAACTAGGCCCTTGAACAGTCAAAAGAGTGATGAGGCCCCTTGTACTGCAGAAGGACCCATGCTCTCTAGCAGCTTTTCCTGATGCAGTGCAACCTATAGACTGCATCTTGTAGTTAGTGATGTTTTACATTGCATTTGCTGTTTTCTTCCGTTTTCTGTCATAAATCAGT